TCTCTATGCGATCCGGCAAACGATACACACGGCGCGCTCTCTCGTTGCGCGATCGCCGGCGAAAAAAGGTGGTCAAATAGAGGTGCGCGGGCAAAACTGTCGGGGAGAGCGACAGAGTAGAGAGACAAAAATTGAGGCTGTCGGCCGGAGAGAGCGCCGGCACCGCGGATATACAACCACCGGTCGCCAATGGCGGCGTCGGACAGCCGCTATACCGTGGCTACGAACCAGGGAAAAAACACACATCGCGTTTTCCTCTTTTTGGCAGCGACGCACTCGAAAACGCAATGTTTCGCGCTCCGCCGAGTTTTCCGGCTCGTCCGTTTGCCTGGCAAACGACGTGAATAATGCTTCGGAATGAAAGCTCGCTATCGCCAGACGCGGCTGGGCCACCTTTATCTTCGTTTCTTCCTGCGCTTCTCGGTCGATCTCGTCGACTCCTTCTCTCTCTCCCTTGCTAGTTGCTAGTTCACTGTTCTTCCCCGCGCCGCAGCCTTCTCGCCGACTCACCCAGCGAAGGGGTGAGTCGGCGTGGAATCGAACGCGAGAGAAGAAGAAGGTCCTTCTTCTCCCTGCTCTCCCTATCCCGCCCCGCGCGTCCAGACCCGGTAATCCAGCCGGTCATTATCTAAAACGTTCCGAGCGAAGCTACTAAATGCCATCGGTATCTCTTTCTCGGTGGACCCCGCATCCTCCACTTCGGTGTGCCCGGTTCCTTTGCCGGCCGCCTTCCGTTTACACCACGAGTATGCCTCTCAAGATCACACGAACCCTCAAGGTCTCTCTCTCTCTCCCTCTCTCTCTCTCGTTTCGCACCCGATGTGACAGGAAGGAGGATGTACCTCTTGTTTATTCCCAAAGACAGAGGCGCGGAAATAATTCCGCACGAAGCGGGACGGAAGGCCGGTGCTGTTTCTCTCGATGCTAAAGAAGCTCGGAGACCTCGTGAATGATATCGTTTTACGGCGTTTTTCAAATTCCCCCGCGTCTTTGCGCGTACGTGCGGATGCGCGTTGACCTCCCGCTTCGCCCCGTTATCGTTATGAGGCCGAGTAATGAAGAACAAAGTCGTAGAGCAGGCTTCCCAATCCATTAGCGGTGAGATAGAATGCCATCTCCTTATCTGCTGCTCACTTCGTACACGACCGCAGAGCGGCGTTATCCAAATTTTGACCGCAAACGACACTTGGAGTCATAATGGCGGGTGGTCAAGAAAGGAGACAAAGAGACAAAAAGACTCGGGGGAAGGAAAAGAAAATGAGAGAGGAGAGGAAGTAAGAAATAGGCGGTGACGCGGAGAGGCGAGGTCAGATAGAGAATAGCTCTAGCGAGGGCCGACGACATTCCAGGTGCCTATTTCGAGAATGACTGGACTCGTTTTCGGGTGTTGCGTCCGCCTCTATTTCGCCCTTCTTGCCACCCTGCTCGCTTCGCCCATTGGAATCACGCCAGTTATAGCGGTAGGAGATGCGCCCAGAGAGACGCCCTCCTCTCTCTCTCTCTCTCTCTCTCTCCCTCTCTCTCTCTCTCTCTCTCGTCTTCGTGAACAATACGTAACTCTCGTTCCTTCGACGTCGACGTTCCCGTTCAATACCGGGGGCTTCCCGCGCTGATCCACGGCATTTTGCAGCGAAGTGTCCGAGTGTCTCGGTTTCCGACCGAAGAAGCGCTTACGTTCGCCTTCGTTCATCTCGTGGAATAGCGTCCGACACACCTTTGGAATTCTAACGACCCGAGGACGCTATCCTCTTGTCCCGCACGTTTGCGCACCGAGCCGGGGATATTCCGAGATTACAACATTCGCCGCGCAAGAGGCCGCGATAGGATCACGAATTGCGAAATCGGACGTTAAACGCGCACACGTCTGTGTCCATGTACGGCGTGCGTGTGTTCTCGCATAACAGCATCAAAATTCCGCCGGCACGCAATATCGTAGCGGCCGCGGCATCCGACACGGCAAAAACCTCGTCTTGACCAAAGAGGTGAGCAAAAGAGAAAGAGAGAGAGAGCGAGACGTGGAGCGGCAGCGAACTCGGTGGCAGCCATCTTAATTACCTAATTTTTTCGACGGTGTCTTAAGGCTTCAAAGACAATTACTAACTAACGTATACGACGAACTCGTTCGCACCGAAAATGCGGCTTGAAATTTTTGTCCCTTCGCTGAACGCGCTCACAGGATTGTGTGCGCTCCTCCCTCCTCCCCCTCCCCTCTCTTCTGCGAGCATCGCATTTTTTGGCCTGTATTCGGTTCGACAAAGGAAACGACGATAATCCGCCGGGTTTATTTGGTCGTGCGTAACAACGAATGGCTATCGCGAATTTTTTTTCCTCCCACCCACCACCACCACCACCCCCGTGAGACGCGATTTCGCATAAGACCGGCAGTCCCAAATTTCCGTCTGGCGCATAAAAATTCGCGCGTGGTAGTAGGAATGTCGATTCCGCCGTCGACAATCGACGTATTCGTTCGATAACATACGCGCGCGCGTATCCCCATTCATTCTTTCCCTTTTTCTCTCTTCCGTCTCTTTTGCCCTTTCACGCCGACTACTATTCTGTTTCGATGAAAAGCTCGGCCGACAGACCGGCGGCAGCGTAAGCGACGGCGAGTGTATTCAAAAGTGTATTGCAAAAATTGCGCCGATAGAGAGGCAAATCGCGTTCGCACAAGTGGCTTCAAAAATTTAACTTCGGTTGGCGCACATTTCGACGTCGAAACAAGAGCTCCGGTGACCGTCCGGCCCGCTCTCTCTCTCTCTCTCTCTCTCTCTCTCTCTCTCTCTCTCTCTCTCTCTC